CAAGTGGGAGAACTTGTAGTATTAGTTTCAAATATTTTTAATCTATTGGGATTCTTTTAAGCGTATGGATGAATTTGTCACGACCCGAAAATCCCACCTTCGGGATCGTGATGGCGCCTAACATTTCACTTGCTAGGCAAGCCAACGTTAGAGTAATTCTTTACCACATTTTAACCACTTTGAACAACTTAGCCAATTAAACCGAAATGAAGCCCAAAATAAAATACGGGATAGCGTAGTAATCTAATATCTAATAAAACCCGAATTTGGAGTCATAAGTACACGAGCTTTTAGAGTTTCTACAAATAGGGTTTGAAATAAGTACAACTGCCTCGAACAAGATGAATAGTAAAATAAGGAAATGGGAAGGGGACTTCAAGGTCTGCGGACGCCAGCAGATCTACCTCGAGTCTCCAAATGCTAATCCGATCTGATGCGTCTCACTGACAGCTGGGACCAGTACCAAAATCTGCACAAGAAGTGCAGAGTTTAGTATGAGTACAACCGATCCAATGTACTCCGCAAGTGTCGAGCCTAATCTCGGCAATGTAGTGATGAGGCTATGACAGGACACCCACGTAATTAAATCTGTATAGACGAAAGTATACGTACAACATAACAAAAAATAAGGAATTAACATGTACTGGTGGGAGGGGACATGCGAAAGGGGTCAAAGATACGGTAACTACAACAGGAAATGATAAGAAGAAGCAGTCAATAAACCTTCAACAAATAAAACGAATAAATATAATAATAAAACTGCACGGCATCACTCTTCCAGCTTTTACTCTCAGTCTCACCATGAAACAGTAATAACGGCATGGCATCACCCTTCGTGCCTTTACTCTCAAATACGGCACGGCATCACCCTTTCATTCTTTAACATTCTCTCTTACCATGTAACAGTGAACATATAACAATAGGGAGATAGAATAAATAAGAACAAAACCTTACGTAAACAATTATTCCACAATACAAACGTCAACTTCAGAAACAATACTCAATTATCACAGATAGCCCATAAATTCAGAAAGAACGATCAATTAAGTAATTAACTAGTCTAAGCATGGATATCATGATCAAAGAAGGCAATAAATTACAAGAAACAAGTTCCACCCGCATGCTTTAAGCCACCAACAAAGCATAAGTACTCGTCACCTCACATATACATTGTATCCAATATTTAAACAAGTAGCATATAGGCAAACAAGTCCTAATCCCTCAAGTTAAGGTTAACCACGACACTTATCTCGCTCCAAAAATCAACTCAAAGCTCTACCGGGATCTTTCCCCTAGAATCCGCCTCCAAAACACTTGTATCTACACAATTGACTCAATAATGTCAAATATTGCTAAAGAAATCAATTACAATGCATAAATTTAGGATTTTCTACATTTTCCCCCAAAAAGTCAAAAATCGATCTCGGGCCCGCTTGGTCAAAACCCGAGGTTCGAACCAAAATCCACTTACCCCTAATCCTCGAGCCCGATTATGTAGTTAGTTTTGGAATCCGATCCCAAATCGAGGTCTAAATCCCCAATTTGCAAAACCCCACAATTCTTCCTAAATCCCTAGTTTTCTACCATGGAAGAACAAAGATTAGGGCTAGAAATTACTAGTTGATGTTAGAAATGGAAGAGAATGAGTTAAAGTGTACAAACCTATGAATTGATGTTGAGTTTTCTCTTCAAAATCGCCCCTAGGCCGAGCTCTAATGGAAGGGTTATGTAAAATGGAAGAAATTCCCTATTTGAACATTTAAATCACTGGGCGCCAGGCCTTCTTCGCGTTCGCGAAGGACTTTCCGCGTTCGCGAAAGGCAGTAGCCCAAAAGGCCTACGCGTTCGCGAGATACCCTTCAAGTTCGCGAAGGCTTACACCCACCAGCCTACGTGTTCGCAAGCCAGGTGCCGCGTTCGCGAAGAGTATTGGTCAGTTCCTAGCCCCCACCTCTATGTCACTACGCGTTCCCGAAGAGTGGGCCCCCCCAGTGCTCCGCGTTCACAACCAAGGTCTCGCATTCGCGTAGATTAAAATCTCCCCATCCCAGTTTGCCCTTCGCGATCGCGGGAGTACCTTCACGATCGCGAAGAAGAAAACACCAGAAAACCAGCAGAAGTGAAAAAAACCCAGATTTTTCTATATTTAAATCATCCGTAGCTTATTCGAATCTCACCCGATCCTCGGGGTTCTTAATCAACTATGCACACAAGTACAAAAACCTCATGCAAACTCGCTCGCCCAATCAAAGCACCAAAATAACACATCGAACTACGAATCGGACACAAAATCAAATGAAATTTTAAATAAAACTTTAGAATTTCTATTTTAACAACCGGACGTCCTAATCACGTTAAACCAAATATGTTTCTCACCAATTTTGGCAAACAAGTCATAAATATATTAATGGACCTTTACTGTGTTCCGGAACCAAGATACGGACTGTGTATCAACAAAGTCAAACATTGGTCAATTCTTTGAAGTCATTACACCTTTAAACTTTCAATTTTTGATAAAAAGCGATAACTCGAGCTAGGGACCTCCGAATTCGATTCCGGGCATATGTCTAGGTCCCAAATCACGATACAGACCATCGGGACCGTCAAAACACGGATCCAAGTCCGTTAGCTCAAAACGTTGACCGAAGTCAACTCAAATGGATTTTTAAGGCAAAATTTCGTATTTTATTAATTTTTAACATAAAAGCCTTCTGGAAAATACCCGGAGTGCGCACGCAAATAAAGGAAGGCATAAAGAAGTTATAGAGGCTTCGAAACATAGATTTAAGGTTTAAAACTCTAATGACCTGTAGGGTCATCACAGAATTTCGAGAATCTCAAAAAGAAAGAATTCAAGAGGCATTAGATATGGGTGAGCTTACAACCTGTAGGGGTTTGAATCAAGAACTTGGTCTTTCAAGAGCATGAGATACTCGTTGGAGATCTCACTTTAAATCTTTTAATAATTTTATTATGATGTTTGGCTCTATTCTTGATGTTCTTGAACCGCTTGTTCTTGTTGCACATTCTACATATGAAAGAACCAAGGCAATGGGATATCTCAGGGCTTGTAAAACATTTGAGGTTGCATTCATATTCCGTTTGATGAGAGATATTTTATCAATAACAAATGAGCTCAATAAATGCTTACAGCGAAAGAGCAAGACATTGCAAACGCCATGCTACTTGTTGAAGTAGCAAAGAAAAGGTTGCAAAAGTTAAGGAAAGAGGAATGAGAATCTCTTATTGCTATGATATCTGCATTTTGTATCAAATATGATATTTTAATACCTTACTTTTATGAGCCATATGTTAGTTCTTTAAGATCGTGTCTTAAACTTGTTGATAGTACAGTCACACATCATTATCGGGTTGACGTATTTTGCAAATTATTAATTGGCAAATTCAAAAACTTAATGAACGTTTTGACGAAGTGACAACTTATTTGCTTCATGGAATTGCTTGTTTGAATCCAATTAACTCATTGTCAAGTTTTGACATCAGGAAAATAATGAGAATGGCCAAGTTATATCCTGATGACTTTGATGAATGTAGTATGGGCCCTCTTGAGAACCAGCTTGCAAGTTATATTATTGATGTTCGTGATGTTGATTAAAGATTCTCCGATCTACATGGGCTTTGTGATCTTTCAAAAAGATTAGTTCAGTCAAAGAAGCATTCAAATTATCCTCTTTTATTTCGCTTAGTAAAACTTGCTTTGCTTCTGCCCGTTGCTACTGCATCCGTTGAAAGAGCTTTTTCAGCGATGAAACTTATCAAGAATGACTTACAAAGTCGAATGACTTACGAAGTCGAATGAATGATGAGTTCTTTAGCAGTTGTTTGGTGCCTCAGGTAGAAAAAAATGTGTTTGATAGTACTTCTAATGATGCTCTTATTAATACATTTCAAGATATGAAACCTCGTCGAGTGCAGTAGTAATAATGTACTTAGTTACTTTTTGTTGATCTCATTAGTCAATAGGTCCTTAAAACTAACACAAGACTTGTTTTTTTTTTTTATTTTTTCTCTTTTTAAAGTCTTGTTACTATGATCTGTTTATCTTAACACTATTTTTTGTGTCGAGAACTTCTCTTTCTATTAATGAAATCTGTTACCATCTATTTTTTTTTTTTTTTGGTTTTGGTTGGCTAGCTTCACTATGTATTTGATTTTTAAAATTTTTGAATCCCCTTCGCAGATATCCTGTCTCCGCTACTGTCTACCCTTATATATTGAGATATAAGATTAAAAGCAACATCTTGATGCATGATATGCGGATTAAGCATATGTCATGAGCAGAGGCGGATCAATGATTTGAAGTTTATGGGTTCCTACAACAATTTTGAGTTATATATACAATAATAACTGGGCTTCCAGTCAAATATTTATAGATAATTAGTGAACTTCTTAATACAAATACAGGATTCGAGCAAAAACTACTAGATTTACGAGAACCATAACCTTAAAGCTGGATCCGCCCCTTGTAATGAGTTCACACTCTGCCACACACAAAAGTTCGTGTTCTAACTTACCCTTGGGAATTTTTCTATTGTCAGAAAAGAAAAATATTTCCCTGTCGTTATATAAATTTCGTTAATGAAAAAGTGGCTAAAAGGTTATAGAGATAACTTTTTCTTCTATATAATCATGGTTAGAAAAAATAAACAATAAATATAACCGGCTGAGTGATCAAGCTTGTCTGGCCAGGGGCGGATTTAGGGGGGCGGAAGGGGGTTCACCCGAATCCCCTTCGCCGAAAAATTACACTGTATATATAAGGTAAAATTTAATTTTTACCCCTATATATTAAGTTTTGAATCCCCTTAAAATAGCCCAAAAGTGTAGCTTAGTGGTCAAGGGGGTTCAAAACCTTTGTAAGATTATAGGTTCAATTCCCACTAGCTACAATTTTTTTTAACTTTTTTCTTTTTGAACCCCTCTCGCGGAGATCCTGCCTCCGCCACTGTGTCTGACTCCTTTCTTTGATACACTAAACATAAGAAATAAACACCAATAGGTGCGTGCTAAACAAATTCATAAGCCTATATATGGCAAAATACATTATGCAATCCGGTTCTTAATAGACTAACAAACACACATGGTCGGCCAAATTCTAGTTTTCTTGCCCCAAAATACAGAGATATGAGACAACAAGAAGTCCAGTGTCTTAACTCTTGTTCAATGTATTCCCAATGTCAAGCACAAAACGGTACTTGACATCCGATTTCGCGAGACGCTCCATAGCTGTATTCACATAGTCCATTGGCACGACTTCAACATCTGGTGTAATGTTAATGCTTTGCCGCGAAATACTACCATCTCTTGTAGTCTCCTTTATCCCTCCTATGGCACTCCCTGCTACTAGCTTCCTTCCTGTTTATCATATTATATAACCTCTGTATAAATGCATGTATATATATATATATATAGAAACAGTCGATTCAAGAAACGTACCTAAAAGCAAGGGAAATACAGGCAACTCTAGTGGTTTATCTGGTGCGCCAACTATTACAAGCTTCCCATGAGTTTTTAACAAATTAATCAATGGAAGAAGTGGGTGAACTGCAGAGACAGTGTCAATGATGCCATCAAGCGAGCCCGCTGCAGCCTGCTTACATGTATAAATGAAAATTACTATTCTTATATCAAACTCCCGTTTAAGATTGAAGCATACTTGATTGATTGATCGAGGTATAAAGTCATGAGTTATAATATTCACCTGCATTTGGTCAGGGTCGCGACTAACCAAAAATGAGTCCGCACCTAAACGCTCAATTGCTTCTTGTTTCTTACTAGCAGATGTACTAATAACAGTCACTCTAGTTCCAAATGCCTTGGCAAATTTCACAGCTATATGGCCAAGGCCACCAAGACCAACAACACCAATATGCATTCCAGGTTTGTCAAGTCCAAAATATTTCAAAGGACTATAAGTTGTGATTCCAGCATTTAGCAATGGAGCAGCTTCCATTGGCAAGTTCTCCGGCCAATGAACCACGTAGTGCTCGTCCGTTACCATGATATCAGAGTAACCTCCATACGTGGTGGTTCCATCGGTGTAAATACCATTGTATGTCATTATATGATCGGGACAGTAAATCTCGAGATTGTTGTCACAGTTTTCACATTTGCGACATGATCCTACCAAACATCCCACACCTACTTTGTCACCAACCTTAAATTTCTCCACCTTGCTACCAATCTCAGTTACCACACCAACAACTTCATATCTGGAACAATTGACAATTTCAAAATATCAGTCGTATTAGATATGAACATGTGATTAAATTGCACTTTCGAATTTGCAAGATGAATAGATAGTTTAGTAGTTCCCGTGTCATCCTTAATTGACATAAATCCGCTATTGATCTCTTGAAAAAGATAAATGCAAATTTAATTATGATTCAATCTTTCTCATTCCATTAAAGAACTCTTAAAATGGAATTAGCGTAACCATTTGCCGAGACAGAAACTTCAATTTTCTCCCATAAACCTTGATTTGGCTAATATTTTAGAGATTTTTACACGGATAATCTTTTATTTAATAATATTTGTATCAATAACATTATTTTTTGTTTATTCCATTATTATACACTTTATATGACATGCGTTTTAAACTTATATAATATGTATTTTAAATTTATATATTTTGATTCACATTTTAAATACACATTATATCATTATTATACACTGAATAAAAATTATTCTATTATTATGCAATTTATATGACATGCATTTTAAGTTTTGTATACGGTCAAAACCGGGCACGTCTACTACATGAAAAATCGGGCTCGGAAAGTGAGGGATCAAAGATCGAACCCAAATCCTATCAAACCAGAACACGAGGTCATAATGTCCGTCCTCGAGAACATCGAGTCCATGATCCCTGAATCGACCTGACCTCAAACGAGCTCGAGAAAACATTGCCAGTATAACTAACAAGAGACCAAAATAACAGAAGGCCAAAATATCCGTGACCGGTCGAGTATTACGGCGGGAATCTCGGCACGTATCGATAAGGAACCAGCAAATCAGGAGAATTTTACCTTTTATAGAATTGTATCTAAAGTAGGACTCCCCTACTATATAAAGGGGGTCTGATTACTTGTAAAGGGACTGTTACATGCATTCAGAAGCAATATACTATTATTTTCTCTTTAAAGCACTTATTCAATTTTGTCTTGACATTGATCAAAGTGAATTTTGTTACAGGTTGGCTCACCACCCAAGGCTAAAACTGTTCAATTCGTGTGGTTCGAGATTACTTTACCATGTTTTATTTCAATTGCTATTTAATTTATTGCTTTGTATCAATTTATTCCACGTATCCTTAAAACCACTTACAAATTCAGTTGTTATTTAATTGTAAGGGTAAACAGTTTGGTGCCCACCGTGGGGCTAAGGATAATAGTGGTTATTTGATACAAATTTCCGTAACACACACTATTTTATACTTATTCTTTGAAGTGTCTCTGATTTTAGGTTTAAGCTCAAAATTTCAAACTCACAATCAGCACCCCTACCTGTTGACAATGAGTCCGGTCACCATGGTGAAAATAAAAACATAGTTCCCGGTAACGAGGTACCGCCCGTTGATCGCGTTGGAATTCCAGTTGCGGACCCGTTGGACACTAACTCGCATGTGGTTGTCGACACAAACCTGCCTACTGACCCCGAGAATAGCATCCGTGGTGGAGCCCGATCGATAACGTAGAATACTCAAAACAATGGAGGAGACGGGATCAATCTACGGATGATATTCGAAATGTTACAGGCTAAACAGGCGGCGATAGCTCAGTTGCAGAACCAAAGCCTCGCACTGAGTAGAATTGAACCCGATTCGTCCCGGGAAATTACCAGTAGGGAAGAACCGGTGGCAGAGAGGTCGAATGAAAACAAGTCGGGTACCAGCCCCGAGATCATACAAATGCTTGAGGAGCTGACGAAACAGATAGAATCAGGGGAGAAGAAAATCGGAGCAAACGACAAATAGGTGGAAACCTACAATTCCAGGGTCGACCAGATCCTGGGAGCGCCGCCAGTACTGAAAGGCTTGGATTCCAAGAAGTTTGTACAAAAACCTTTCCCTCCGAGTACGGCTCCAAAGCCGATCCCTAAGAAATTCCGCATGCCCGAGATTCCTGAGTACAACGGAACGACTGACCCAAACGAGCATGTCACTTCCTACATATGCGCCATCAAAGGAAACAACTTGGAGGATGATGAGATCGTGTTTGTCTTGTTGAAGAAATTCAGAGAGACCCTGTCAAAGGGAGCTATGATATGGTATCACAACTTACCTCCTAATTCTATTGACTCATTTCCTATGCTTGCAAACTCTTTCGTGAAAGCACACACTGGGGCTATCAAGGTCGAGACCAGGAAGTAAAACCTCTTCAAAGTAAAACAAAAGGATAATGAGATGCTCAGAGAGTTCGTGTCCCGATTTCAAATGGAACGGATGGACCTACCACCGGTCGCTGATGATTGGGCCGTTCAAGCTTTCACCCAAGGACTCAATGTTCGAAGTTCGGTGGCTTCACAGAAATTGAAGCAGAATTTGATAGAGTATCCGACTGTTACTTGGGCTGATGTGCCTTCAGTCGAAAATCAGAGTCGAAGATGATCAACTGGGGACTACTTCAAAGTCTGTTTATCCTATTAGACCCGTCGACAAAGTCAAGAGAGACATCGATTGTGAACCAAGGTCGAACAGGGATCTATACTAGCCGTATAATAGGGATCGAAGAAGCAGCGGGTTCGGACAGAGTTCTATGCGAAATGAAAGGAGAAATGATTGAGGCCAGAGCAGCCGGGGACTCATGAGCAAGAACGGTTTCGACAGGCCTATCGGACTTAAAGAAGCACCAAGGTTATCGGAATATAACTTTAACGTTGATGTTACTGCCATCGTATCAGCTATCGAAAGCATCAAAGACACCAAATGGCCTCGATCCCTACAATCTGACCCAGCCCAAAGAGATCCAAACCAGATGTGCAAATATCATGACACTCACGGACACAGAACAGAGGATTACGGACAGTTGAGAAAGGAGGTAGCCCGGTTATTCAACAACGGGCATCTTCGAGAATTCCCGAGCGACCGAGCCAAGAATCATTTCAGAAATAGGGATTCTAATAAACAGACCGAACAAGAAGAACCTTAGCACTTCATTAACATGATTATCGGTGGGGTCGATGTTCCTCAAGGGCCGATGTTGAAGCACACCTAAGTATCCATCACAAAGTAAAAACGGACTCGAGATAAATACCATAAGGAACTTTGTCTTTCAATGACGAGGATGCAGAAGGGATCGTGTAGCCCCACAATGATGCACCGGTAATATCTGTACTCATAAATAAATCTCGAGTTAAGCATGTGCTAATTGATCCAACTAGCTCGGCCAACATCTTCCGATCGAGGGTCGTAGAACAGCTCGGCCTACAAGATCAAATCGTGCCTGCAGTCCGAGTTCTATACGCATTCATCATGGCATGTGAGACCACTAAGAGAGAGATAAAATTACAAGTGAATGCCGTAGGGACCATCTAGGAAACCAATTTTTATGTGATCGAAGGAGACATGAGGTACCACGCCCTGTTCGGGAGGCCATGGATCCACAGCATGAGAGCAGTGCCCTCGACTGTTCACCAAGTGTTAAAGTTCCCAAGGCCAGGATGGATTAAAACAATCTACGGGGAACAACCATTCGCTAAGGAAATATTTGCAGTCGAAGTAGTGATTCCAATATCAACACTCGCAACATCAAAGGAACAAAGCTCGGATACAAAGCAAGGGGCTAAATAGCAATTATCGACACCAGCCACGACCCAATCGGATGAACAGGGGACTGATGAAGATGATGATTATGGGGTTCCCAGATCTTTTATAGTCCCGGATGATTTCGATGCCACAAAATTTACGGTCGAGGAGCTGGAACAGGTCACGTTGATCGATCATCTCCTCGATCGGAAGGTATACCTGGGCAAGGGGTTAACTCCCGAGCTCACGAAAAAACTCATTCAATTTCTTATAGCTAACATAAATTGTTTCGCTTGGTCCCATCTTGATATTACAAAGATCCCAGTGAAGATAACCACTCACAAGCTAAGCATGGATCCGAAATACCACCCGGTCAAGCAGAAGAGGAGACCCCAGTCCGAGGTCAACCGCGCTTTCATCAAGGACGAGGTATCTAAACTCCTTAAAATAGGGTCAATTCGGGAAGTGAAATACCCGGATTGGTTAGGAAACGTAGTAGTAGTCCTTAAAAAGGGGAACAAGTTAAGAATGTATGTAGACTATAAGGATTTGAATAAGGCGTGTCCCAAGGACTCTTTCCCTTTGCCCAACATCGATCACATGATCGATGCCACGACCGGCCACGAGATCCTCAGTTTTCTCGATGCCTATTCTAGGTACAACCACATACGAATGGACCCGGATGATGAGGAGAAAACCTCCTTCATCACTAAGTACGGCATATATTGCTATAACGTGATTCCATTCGGATTAAAAAACACTGGTGCTACTTATCATCGCCAGTAAACTAGATGTTCGAGGAACAAATAGGAAAATCAATGGAAGTTTACATTGACGATATATTGTTTAAGGCCCTGCGAGCAGAGGACCATTTAGAACATTTGAAGGAAACCTTCAGTATATTGAAGAAGTACAATATGAAGCTGAACCTAGAGAAACGTGCATTTGGAGTCGGATCGGGTAAATTCCTCGGGTTCATGATATCCAACCGAGAAATCGCGATCAACCTCGACAAGATCAAAGCCATCGAAGATATCACAGCGGTAGACAACGTAAAAGTCATGCAAAGACTAACCAGGCGCATAGCCGCCCTGGGGCAATTCATCTCGAGGTCCTTCGATAAGAGCCACCGATTGTTCTCGTTGTTGAAAAAGAAGAATAACTTCTCATGGACCCCAGAGTGCTAGCGGGCCTTGGAGGAGTTCAAACGGTATCTGTAGAGCCTACCGCTGCTTTATACTCCAAAGACAGACGAATAGCTATACCTATACTTGGTAGTATCGGAGATAGCGGTAAGTGGAGTCCTGGTCCGGGAAGAGCAAGGCATGGAATTTCCAATTTACTATGTTAGTAGGACTCTGGGTGAGGCCGAAACTAGGTACCTTAACTTATAAAAATTAGCACTCGCTTTGCTTAGTGCCTCTAGAAGCTAAAACCATATTTTCAGTGTCATCCTATATATGTTGTAACTACTTACCCTTTGCAAAATATAATGCATAAACCCCAGCTCTCGGGGCATTTGGACAAATGGGCCGTGGAAATAAGCGGGTACAATTTGAATATTGACCCCGAACAACCATTAAATCTCAAATGTTGGTAGATTTCATGGCCGAATTTACACCTGCCCTACTACCCGAGGTCGAAAAAGAGTTGTTGGTAAACTCGGGGACGTCTTCGTAAATCTGAACTATCTTTACGGTTGGTGCCTCGAATGCAAAAGGGTCCGGACTTGGCATCATAATGAAGCCACCTACAGGCAATGTAGTTAGACAATCTATTAGAACTGTGAAATTTACGAACAACGAGGCCAAATATGAGTCCATGATTGCAGGTCACGAACTAGACAAAAGCTTGGGGGCGGAGGTGATCCAAGCTAAGTGCGATTCCTCCTTGTGGTGAACCAAGTTAATGGGACATTCTAGGTCAGAGAGGAACGAATGCAAAGGTACCTGGACAAGTTACAGGTGACATTACATCGGTTCAAGGAGTGAATTTTGCAACACATACCTCGGGATCAAAACAGCAAGCCCGATGCCCTTGCTAACTTAAGATCGTCGGTCAAGGACGACGAGCTCAACTCGGGCGCAGTCGTACAACTTATGAGATAGGTAGTGGAAGAAGGCCATGCCGAGATAAACTGTAAAATCTTAACTTGGGATTGGAGAAACAAGTATATAGAATATTTGAAGGCCGAAAATCTGCCCTCGGATCCAAAAGAATTGAGGGCCCTGCGTACGAAAGCAGCCCAATTTAGCTTGTCCGAAGATGAAACCCTGGTCAGAAGAACGTTCGATGGCCACTAGCGATATGTTTGGGATCGAGAGATACTGATTACGTTCTCATGGAAATTCACGAGGGCACCTGCGGAAATCATTTTGGCGCCGAATCATTGGTTCGAAAAATAATCAGAGCCGGCTATTACTGGATCGATATGGAAAAGGACGCGAAGGAGTTCGTATGAAAATGTGATGAATGTTAAAGACATCCTCCGATGATACATCAACCCAGGGAACTACTTCATTCGGTCTTGTCACCATGGTCGTTCATGAAGTGGGGAATGGACATCGTTGGCCCTCTTCTATTGGCCCCCGATAAGGCTCAATTTATTTTGTTTATGACTGACTATTTTTCTAAGTGGGTGGAATCCCAGGCATACGAGAAGGTCAGGGAGAAGGAAGTCATCGATTTCATTTAGGACCACATCATATGTCGGTTCGGAATGCCGTCCGAAATCCTGTGCGACAACGGGAAATAATTTATCGGCAGGAAAGTGACCAAGTTTCTCGAAGACCATAAGATCAAGAGGATCTTATCAATACCTTATCACCCTAGTGGAACGGGCAAGCAGAATCGACCAACAAAACCATACTTCAAAACCTCAAAAAGAGGTTAACCGACGCCAAAAAAATGGAAGGAAATCCTACCCAAAGTCCTATGGGCATACCGTACGACCTCGAAATCCAGTACCTGGGCCACCTCGTCCTCATTGGTTTACAGCACTGAAGCTCTAATACCGGTCGAATTCAGAGAACCAAGTATCATATTTTGATATGCAACCAAGAATCGAATGACGAGGCTATGAGTAGGAGCCTAGAGCTATTGGATGAAAGGTGCAAAGCCGCCCTATTCCGGTTGGACGCCCAAAAGCAGCGGATCGTGAGAAACTACAATCGAAGGGCCAACCTCTGACACTTCACTATCGGGGACTTAGTACTAAGGAAGGTCACACTGAACACCCGAAACCCGAACTAAGGGATGTCGGGGACGAACTGCGAAGGGCCATACGAAATTATCGAGATCACCGAAAAGGGATCCTACAAACTCGGAACTATAAACAGAGAGCAACTACTGAACAACTGGAACATAACTCACTTGAAGTGGTATTGCCACTAAGGTACGATCCCACTTATTCTTTTTACTTATTTTTAACTAACACTTGCAGGTAACTGATAGGGAACGGTACAAAATTTTAGGCCTGAAAGCACGCGTTGCACGCTTTTTCCCTTGGCCCGATTTTGTCCCAAATGGTTTTCTAGCAAGGTTTTTAACGAGGAAAAAGTGGATCGTGCTAACTTAGAATTGAAGTCCGATCATGAATCGGTGAGAGATTGCATCAGCAGCATCCGATGCTTCTCTCTATGATCAACCTCGAATACTAGCGGGCATTACCCTCGGGAATTGACTTTAGCGAGGAAAGAAACTTCGTGATTGAATGGTCTCGATCGATAGGATTTATTGTAAGGTCCAAACGGTCAAATGAACCGTGCCCGCATAGACTGCTCGAGCCCTAGCACAAAGCATGCACGCATGTATAACTATTACGCACAAGAATAAAAAGAACTCTTTTCCTCACGGATAAATATCTTGTCTCTTAAAATTTTCTTTGCATTTTTTAAGGAATTTTCTACATCCGATCCCTAAAGGTATCGAGCTCAAGGGCCACCTTAATCCGAGTTCGAAGAATCACTCTCACTCGGGGACTTCTGTCCGAGTCATCGAAACTTGAGGGCATAAGACCTGTTAGGCAACGCCCGAATTTTGAAGACTACAGCCATCCCACTCAGGGACTGTTATCCTAGGCAAGCCCGGATAATTCGGGGTGAGAATCCCACTGGGCAACACCCGAACTAAAAAGGCTACGGCCAAATTAACACGGCTCGAAGACGTCCGAGATCTGTAGCAAAAACAACAAGGCCTTAAAATTTTTAACCGGTTCTAAAAGCTACCCTCGGCGAACTATAATCTAAAAAAGTATAACTACTTTGGGGAAAAAATACGGTCACACAGAACCCCCACGATTCCTCAAAAACAAAATAATGTTGAAGGCAAGGCTTGTTTTAACCTCCGAGCATAGCCTAACTAGTTCATGCTAAGGCATTTTAAATCTTTGCAAATATAAATAATAAAGCAAAGGAAAAAATTTAGAGATTGCTGAAGGGAAAAAAGCTTATATATACATATTGAAAGATGTTTACAACGGCCGAAACGGCCTCGACACAAATTTTTACAGAGGCCAAATGGCCTCAACAAAAAGGTAATACAGAAAGCAATAAACAAAAGAGCCTAAGTGGCCTAGTCTTTGTCGGGGGCCGCATCATCGCCTTCGGGGTCTCCCCCACCCTCGGACGCATCTTCGTAATCTTCATCGTCTTCGGGATAGGCCAATTTTTTGGCCTCGGCTTTGAGCTCCTTGGCATTCTCGATCTCTGCCGATAAGTCAAAACCCTGAGCATGAATTTCCTCGAGGGCCTCCCTTTGAGATTGCCGCTTCGCGTACTCAATGATATTATTTTCCCGAACCTGAGCCGCCTCGACATCGGCTTTATAATCGGCCACCATCTCGTCGGCCTATACTTTAACCACCTCGGCCTCCGACTTGGCCGTTCCAAGCTCCTTGGCCTGATTTTCTTGATCAGAGACAGACGAACTAAGCTGAGACTCACGCTCTTCAATCTTTTTGGCCAGCACCAAGGCCTTTTCCTTCACAGCTCGGAGCTAGACCTCAACTGATGCCAATTGTGTCCGGGCTCCTTTTCTGAGGCCAAGCGATCCATTCTGCTTTTCTATTCTTCGGCCTCGGACTTTACCACTTCCATCTCTACCCCGAAGTTGGTCAATCCGATCAAGATACTGTTGGACCTGCGGATTTGGAGCGTTAGTCATCGAGTTTTGCTCATCGTCACTAAACTCAAAGACTTTTACCTTTTCCACCAGGTCAGCATGTTCCTTCCGAGCCGCCTCTAGCTCAGCTCCGAGGCTCCTAGCCTCCCCCTCGCGTTGCTCACCGAGAAGTTTGTAAGCATCTCTTTTCTTAGTGAGCCCTCGGATCACGGCCTCATACTGCTTTTTACCTCTTCCCAGTATCGGAGAAAAGTCGCGTGATGAAGCACCTAGGCCTACAAAATAAAGTAAAAGGTTATGACCATATATAAATTAATCTAAGTACAAGTTAAAAAGAGGTATCTGAAGTTACCCGGTTTAATGCCTGTTGAGCATCGTTGAACAGGCAGGGCACTTCTACCTCCTTCATCCTGGCTTGGTCTTCCTCAGTGACCAAGCAACGAAGGTAACTGGCCACCCCTACGGCGACGGAGAGAACCCAGGCATCCTCCGAAATAGACATAATGATCGATCACTTCCGGTCATGTTTCGCACTTGGAGCTGGAAACCGGTTGACTAGTTTCAGACTTGAGGAAGGTCCAGTCATTCCCGATGATGGACTCTTCCTTGGTACCAGTAAATCACCCAACCCGATGACGTCCTCCGAGGCGGTAGAGTATACGCCATAAAAAAGTAGTGAAAGGGGTCTTCCACCCTTTTTAACCCCTCGTTGGGGCGTCCTTTCCACAACTGGGCCTCGGTGAACATGGACTCAGTGAACGAAGGTGACACAGAGAGGTCTATCACACCGAGTGTGTCCTTTGGGATACTATCATCTACCCAGGAAGCACCGGCCACAACCTACTTATCGGCCTCCCTAACTTAGGGCAAAACAGCCTCGCCTCCTCCTGGTTCCGAAGCCTCGGCCACGGCCTCCTCATCAGCCGCTCTGAGTTGAGGCAATTCAGTTTCATCTCTCATTTGTTAAGAGGCCCCTTGAACCCTGACTGTATATGGGCTACCAGTTTAGAGCTTCTTCTTCATCTTCTGATTCGTTCCTCAGCCGGTGGAGTGAGTCCGAAGAGGGCGCTCGAGCACTGGTGCTATTCTTAGATTTGCGCACCAGCCTTCTCCTTGTTTTCTTCTTTTCCGAGTTCGGAGAACTCGGAGCCCTTTCTCTCTTCTTCTCTTCACCTCGTCTCGGAGCAGGGGACTCGGCATGGCAATCCTCGTCGCCGGATAGAGGCCTCATTGCGACATCCTTAGAAAGACCTGCAAAGGGAAACGAAACGAATAAGAACTCAATAACACAAAAGAAAACTAAGTGTTATTCACTCAGGAGAGGGATCTCACCTTGAGAACGGGCCTCCCATCGTCCCTTCGAGAGCTCGCGCCATGCGCGCTTGAAATATGGATTTTGTGCAACAATGCCCTCGACCCACTCCTTGAGTCGAGGGACTGCATTCGGGTCCCGAGCAACAGCTACATCGCCACCAAACACCGATAAGAATGAAGGAGAAGAGAGTAAAAAGTAAAATTCTTAGAAAAACAAAACTTTACTTACGTTTTGTGTTCCACTTCTCGGGGAACGGCATATGCTCGGCTGGGATCAGGTCCGAGGTCCTCACTCAGACAAATTGGCCTAGCCAACATCGATCATGATATTCATCGATGCTCGAGAGCGGGGCTTTACTAGCTCGGCATGCAAGTTTAATGATTCCCCACCGAAAGAGTCGGGGACTGTATAGGCGCATAAGGTGGTCGACAGTAAACGAGCTTCTGTCGATCTTTCTGACAAAGAACTGGAGAAGGATGACGATTCTCCAGAACGAAAGGCGAATCTGGCCGAGGCACACCTCGTACCTTTTGCAGAAATGGATGATTATCGGGTCCACCGGGCCCATCATAAAGGGATAAGTGTAAAAAAAAAACCTTGACTTGAGTAGTGATATCTTCATGGGGACCGGGCACCACCACGTCTTTACCGACCCAGTTGTAGTCCTTTTTAACCGAGGGGAGAATTTCTTCACTGATCGAGCAAATGTACCTCGAGACCTTCTCACCCCGGCCTGGTACAGGTGAAGGTTTTTCAACCTTAAAATCGGCGGTCACCAAGCACCTGCCAGGAATGAATGTGCTAAGAGGAGGTTCCACCGCTGGTTCCTCGCCAGCTGGCTGTGATGTAGAAGTAGTTTCTTTTTAGGGAACCATTTTTGAAGTCTTCGCCATTTCTTTTTGAAGATGGAAGGAAAAAGAACAAGAGGAAGTTAGAGCAGTACGCTTAGTGATTTAGTGTGGAGACAAAGGAAATTCTTCACACAAGGATCTCAAGAAACCAGAACTGTGAGTGTTGGAAAATAGAGAAATTTCTAAGAAGCAAGAGTAGAAGGTTTGGAAGTAAAGTTTGAATGGATAAGGAAGGGGGTATTTATAGATTTCAAATGACGGTTCAAATCCAGGAGTGGTCGACCAACAACTGACAAGGATTTAATGCCATGGAGACGTGACTGACGAGATGTTTCGTTCATTTTGTCGATTCTGACACGGAGTATCGAGGTGAGAATCGGAAGCTCATATCGTTTCTCATTGTTTACTCTCTGAAAAATGAGGGGACTATCTATATACGGTTGAAGCTGGGCTCATCTACTACATGACTTATTGGACTCGGAACGTAAGGGATCAAAGATCGACCCGGAGTCCTATCAAACAAGAACATGAGGTGAGAATGCCCGTCCTTGAGAACATCGAGTCCATGATCCCTGAATCGACCCTAACCTCGAACGAGCTCGAGAAAACATTGCCAGTATAACCAACATGAGACTGAAATAACAGAAGACCGAAATATCCATGACCGGTCGAGTATTACAGCGGGAATCTCGGCATGTATCGATAAGGAACTGGCAAATCAGCAAATCAGGACATTTTTACCTTTTATAGAATTGTAACTAAAGTAGGACTCCTCTACTATATAAAGGTGGTCTGATTACTTGTAAAAGGGACTGTTACACGCATTCAGAAGCAATATACTATTATTTTCTCTTTAAAGTTCTTATTCAATTGTATCTTGACATTGATCAAAGTGCATTTTGTTCGAGGTTGGCTCACCATCTAAGGCTATAACTGTTCAATTCGTGTGGTTTGAGTTTACTTTACCATATTTTATTTCAATTGCTATTTAATTTATCGCTTTGTATCATTTTAATACAGATATCCTTAAAACCACTTACAAATTCAATTGTTATCCGATTTTCAGGGTAAAGAAGTTTATATTTCCTTAAAATCACTTTTAAATACACATTATACCATGTATATAAGTAAACACAATCATCTAGATATGCAATAATGGATAATGTATATAAATTAAGACAACAACGGATAATGCATATAAATTAGACAACTATTACGGCCGGACTGCAGCGCACATTCGTCACATTAGAAATTATACTCCCTTCAATTTATTTTTCTTTTTATTTCTTTAAAGAATCTTTGATAATAAAAAGTTTCAGTTCATCTAAGCACTAATTTTAATAAAATTTTATCTATGTGATTCCATCAATATAATAAACTACATTTTATATGCATATAACATAAAATTATGTCTCTTCTATCCCAAGTAAATTTGTAAAAATAAGTTCACTGATATATTTTATTATTGCGCGAAGCACGAGTCAATTTACTAGTTCTTAAATATTGCCCACTTAATCACTTATGAAACTGTCTCCTAATTTTAAGTAGAAACCTTCACGTCAATTATAAGAAGATGCAACAAAAGGAAATGTACGTGTTTTGCAAGAGTTTAATTTCAATGCATAGACGATATCAAAAATATCTGCACGATAGATCAATTATAATGTAACTATACACTATAGGAAAATAAGCTTTTTAGTGACCAAAAGCTATGTGTCCTATGGTGATAGATAAATCTATACGATAAATATTAATAATCTGATAAAAATGTTAATTACCATGTACTCACAAGTTAGATTACACATTTTTTACACGTCAATGTATACAAGTTAAATCCAAATGCAAATAAATAATTAAAAAGTAAAAGAATGGAAACTAACCCAGGTACCATTGGATATATGCTATTGCTCCATTCATTCTTGAGTTGCTGAAGATCAGAATGACAAATTCCACAATACATAACTTCGAACTGCACATCCTTCTCACCCGTGGCTCTGCACCCATTATTAATCCAAACCGAATTACCCCCATTTTAGAGTTTTCTATAGCCATAGCACCACTAATAAAACAGAGAAGCTGAATAAATTTAACTAAAAAAAAAAAAAGCTAACTAAAATTTAGGATAAAATAATCAAATAATACCTTCTTGTAAAGTTGAAAGGAGAAAGAACACCAGAAGTATCTCTAGCTGCCCATCCAAATGCCTTTACTGGGTGTTCATTCTCATATAATTTTGCCATTTTCTTAACTTTTGGTTTTTTAGAAATATGACAACAAATTGAGTAATAATTAATTGCAGTAGGAAATAGATAGATGGTGAAGTGGTTGACTTTCGATATTATGTATATATAAGCCTTTGAGCTCATGACTTATCACGTAGTCGATGAGGTGTGAAGCAATGACTTTCCTCATGGCTTCTCTGTACACTCTGTTTTCTCTGAATTTTTTATTTGATATGATCACCTTAAACAAATCTTCCTTGTCTCTCTGTGGCGTAATATATACTTTGGGCAAATGCTACGTGTATATATATGCATGGGGTTCGTGCATGAACGTGTTTGACCAAATACAGTGTTTGCTCAAGTAGAGGTTAGTTTTGAAGACTGACAAAGGAACTCAGGCATGAACTAGGTCCATCCCTCAGGTGCACAAAAACGGGCAGATTAGAGCATGTGGGATGCACGTGAAGGAGACAAGCTTAACTTTGTGTATTTAATATGTCCTGATCGAAAAGGTTGCATAATTGATAAGGAGAAGAACTCCTTAGTCAAAGAGAACATTATCCAAGATAGGGAAGGAGTTAGAAGTTGAGATCAACTAGAACTCTTCTACCAAGGAAGAGTTGCATCAGAACTCTAGTTATTTCTTTGTTTACTAACTTTATAAATTGCAGGATGTTCTCACATTACAGGTGTTGCAAAAAAACGCAGAAGTTAAACGTGAATTGAGAGCAAAATAACAATGCTTTTTGCAAGCAGTTCGTGTATGATTCAATTGTGCAAACCTGAAGCTACATAAAACAGATTGAAGAACCAGCTCCATAAAGAGTTTTATGTGTCTGTCTTTTATTCTAGTTCAATTGTAGTAGGCGTTTTCATATTGTACCTTTCAGCTTATTTAGAAGCAATTGTATTAGGTACTCAGAGTTTTCAAGTTAGAGTTAAGTTGAAGTTGTCGCAACAGTTGAGGCTGTGTGCTACAACGGGATTAGAGTTAATCCTAGGCTTACAAAAGAGTNACTACGCGCGTACTATCAAGACCAATCATATCATAAATCAATGAAATATGTTGCGGTGTGCACCCGATCCCATGAATATCCTCACAATAAGTCCCTCGGCCTCACTCAGTCATCAATCTCTCAGTCTCTCGGGCTCTCAATGTCATGAAACTAGCCCGAAAATAATGATATGATGTATCAATAAATAACAACTGACACTGAGATATGTTATGAATGCATGAATATGACTGAGTACGAAATATCAATAAAATCAGTGAGGTGACAGCAAGAAACGACCACTATGGGTCCCAACAATATCGGCATAAAGCTTACACATTATATCTAGGCATGATTGACAACTCATTTACTTATCACATGGTGAAAAAACATATATCAACAAAATAGGACCACTATACAGTGCCATGGAAACAACGGAGTCGCAATTCATAGGATGCTCGCCCACATGCCCGTCACTTAGCATATGTGTTACCTCAATACCAATCACACAACACGTAATTCGGGGATTTCATACCCTCAACACTAAGTTTAGAAGAGTCACTTACCTCGAACAAGCCAATTCCAATATCGATAAAGCCAAGCGATGCTCCAAAAATGCCACCACGCGCGTAGCGACCTCCGAACGGCTCAAAACTAGCCAAAAGCAACTTAAATACATCAAATAAAGCCCAAGAAACAATTCCAAATGATAAAGATCGAATCCTTAATCAAAATCCAAAACCGGCCAAAATTCACAACCGGGCCCGCGCCTCAGAACCCGACAAAACTCACAAAATCCGTAAATCCATTCAATTACATGTCCAACCATACTAGTTTCACTCAATGCTGACTCCAAACTGATGTTCAAAACTCAAAAATTTACATTATTAAACTTTAGGCCAAAATCCCCAATTTCCTCTTTAAAATTCATCAAGAAATTGCCAAAAAATGAAGATAGATTCATGAAATAAGATCAAAACCAAGTGTAGAACACTTACCCCAATCCTTGTGATGGAAATGGCTCCAACAACCGCCTCAATGTCCGACATCTCAAAATACAAAGAAAGAACCAAAACCTCAATTTTATAGCTTCTGCCCAGCAGATTCCGCATTTATGGACAAGAGTCGCATATGCGATCTTCACTTTTGCGGGAAAAGGCTCGCATTTGCGAGGCAGTCTGCTTCTGCGGATGGCTATGATCGCATCTGCGATCGCGCTTCTGTGCTAGAAGTACCGCTTCTATGAAGACTCCCCAGCCAGCTCTCCCTCGCTTCTGCGACAACTTTATCGCTTCTGCGACCATCGCATCTGCGCAAAACCAGCTGCAGGTGCGGTCACACCAGAACCATCAGCTCCTTAGCAATGAAACATGAAGAAAAATGATCCGAAATCAATTCGAAACACGCCCGAGCCCCTCGGAGCCCCGTCCAAGTATACCAACAAGTTCCATAACATAGCGCGGACCTACTCGAGGCCTCAAAACACACATAACAACATAAAAACAACGAATCACACCTAAATTCGAAATCACTGAACTTTTAAACTTCAAATTTCCACAACCGATGCCGAAACCTACCAAATCACGTCCGATTGACCTCAAATTTTGCACAGTAGTCACATTTAACATTATGGACCTGCTCCAACTTATTGAATTAGAATCCAACACCGATATGAAAAAGTCCACTCCCTGTTAAACTTTCCAAAATTTCAACTTTCGCCATTTGAAGTTAAAGTCTACTACGGAGATCCAAATTACAATCCGGACGCGCTCCTAAGTACAAAATCACCCAACGAAGCTAACGAAACCATCAAAAATCCAATTGGAGGTCAACCACTAAAAAGTCAAACTTGGTCAACTCTTTCAAATTCAAAGCTTCCTAGTTGAGAATCATTCTTCCAAATCAATTCCGAATAACTTGAAAACCAAAACCGACGATTCACATAAGTCATAATACATCATACGGGGCTACTCATGCTCTTAAACTGATGAGCAAAGTACAAATGCTCAAAACGACCGATCGGATCGTTACAACCATGAGCTTGAATTGTAACATAAGTGGTCATAAAATCATTTTTTTATAGGATTCGAATATCAAAAAGGAAAAAAAATATTAGGTGATTCCTCGATATATATATATATATATATATATATATATATATATATAGGTTAATTTGGGTTGCCAATTTTGAATTCTACAGAACTCTTGGAAGTCAAAGTTGTGCGATATGAAACCAATTACTATTTTATTTGCATGATTCTTCTGATGGAAAGTCCCAACTCTTTGGACTGATCACTCTATTTTGTCAGGTATCCCATGAACAATTGCTTGGAATAACTAAACAAGACAAAGGAACGTAAATCTCAAGTGCTACTCTGTTTTCTAATTTTTTGAATGGAATCAAGATCACGAAAAAAAAGAAGAAAAGGAAAACAAGGAAGACCACTTAGTCTGCAAACTAAAATATTTTATAGATATGTTAACTTTACTTCCCATTTTTGGCACATTACATTCTAAACTTAGAAACAAACGTCGCATCATTGACCTAAACAACTGATTTAAATTTCTTTCCTAATTTGTCACTCCATCTGTCCTAGTCGTGATAGATTATTACAAGAAAAAAGAAACTACTCGACTACTATTCTGGTCCCTTTGCTAATAGCTTGTTCACTCAAAAGAAAAGGCAGCCCGATGCACAAAGCATTCTGCTTTCACGCAAGGTCAGGAGAAGGACCGTACTCCAAGCAGGGCAGAGTTAAAGGGGCAGAAGGGTGTTCACCCGAACACTCTTCGCCGAAAAATTATATATTTAAGGCAAAATATGTTTTTTACCTCTATATATTATGTTCTGAATACCCTTGACACTGTTAAGCGTAGCCCTATTCTGCATTATAGTCCAGGCCCAACCGGGCATCCCACTTCATGACCCAACACAAAGTTTCATTACTTTACACATGTATTATTTCATTAGTTGATTTGTATATAAATGAGAGTAACTCTCTAGAATAAGTGAGATTTTATTTTGACAATATAAGTTCTGAGAATAAGAAAATGGTCCGATTTCTTCTCTCCTAAATTCTAGGATTTTACTGTCAATTTCTTCTTGCATAGCTCGATTTCTTAACCTAACATGGTATCAGAGTCATGGAATCAATGAGCCTTGATCTACTCTTTCGATTGATGGTACCCTCATTGAATTTCATGGAGGATTTCACATCGTCGAGCTTTGTCAGTTTTCGCGCATCAACCATCGATTTTTTGGGTTGTGGGTCTTCTTCAATGGTGTTTATCGTCTATTGAGAATTGTATGGTGTTTCTCTTGGTATTCTACTGTTATCGCCAGTGTTTACTCAAACTTGCTGCTTTTGGTCGATACTTTCTTTGTTTTTCAAGGCCTTACCTTCTTTAGGTTGCAAAGAGGGACGGTAATCTTCTTCTCACCACTTCTACGAGTTATTAGTGCTGTTTGATTATATGAGTATTCCTATTTTTGGAATTTTGCATATCTAGGGTTATTCATGGGTAGTCTAGAAGCTAGTTCCTCTCCTGTGTTAGATGGTTTTGATGATTTCGCTATTCCTCCATCTCATCCATTCTATGTTCATCCATCTGACAGTCCTGGTACTCATTTAATTACTCCCCCTTTCAATGGGAGTGGTTTTGTCATTTGGCGTAAAAATATGCTCACTGCTCTCTCTGCTAAGAACAAATTAGGACTCATAACTGGTAGAGTTCCCAACCTGAATTTGATTCAACTTATTATTCATTTTGGGAAAGATGCAACGGCATGTTCATTGCATGCATAACAAATTCCCTATCTAAAGACATAACAAATAGTGTAATGTGCTTTAACACTACCAAGGATATTCGGGCTGATATAAAGGAAAGGTTTTGGGACATCAAATGGTTCAAAGTATATTCAGTTACAAAGGAAAATCAGTGCTGCTTCCCAAGGGTCTTTGGACATTACTACCTATTTTACAATGCTCAGGGGACTCTGGAACTTAACACTGCTTATGTAGGACCAGTGTGTACATGTGGGGCTTTACCAAAATTTATAAAACAACAGAAAATATACCAATTCCTTAGTGGCTTAAATGAG